GCGCGAAATTCAAAAACAAACAAACTAGAAGGAGGACAGCTAGTCAGCAGAACTTTGCAACCTATTATCCAAGCTAATGGACTGTCTGCTATAACGCACCCACAGTTTAAAGTGCAAGAAATATCTTGTGGTATTTCACAAATTCGAAACCAACTCCATACCACTCCAAAACCTAAAATAATTTAGTACCAAAATACTTCCTTGTTTTTAACTTTTGCTTTTTATAAAACTTAAGTTATGTTATTGTAAAGTTTAGAACTTTGATGAGAAAATCTAATGCTTATCCATTATTGAAATAGCTTCTGTATGTATTCGTAAGCAATTCTCAAGAATTAAAACGAAGTTTCAAGTTATAAACTTTCGAGAGTATTATTCAAATATGGCAACTTATATAAGTAAATTTTTTTGGAGTCGTACCCACACATGTAAGTTTACTAAGCATATTATTCGTGTAGAAATTAGGGTACGATACAGTACTTTTCTGCTGCTAGTAGCCTGTGGAGAGATTTTGAGGCTCCCTCACCTTTCGTAGCCTTGTGGTGGCACCTTAGGCAAGTGCCAGCAACCATGTAGCCCCCCCCCCCCAAATCGGGGAAATGGTGAAACCATTGACGAAGCAGGATGGTGGATTACATTGTCTGATGGAAGCTTGGTTTAATTGGGTAAACAACAGAGAAAGCATGCTGTATTTAGTTTTGAGCACTGCAACTGACAGAATCAGTGCTGTTAGCTATGTACAGCCACTATTTTAGGAGAAGGTCACTCCACAATAAAACCCGTATTGTTCTCCCACCAACCGTCATGCCCAAGCATTCCGTTGGGCCTCGGAGGCACAGTTGGGAAAGTGTTAAGTGGACAGAAGGTTGTATTCAACCCAGCACTCGGAGAAAATGACATTTTCACAAACTGAAGATAAGTGGATGGGTATTAAATTAAAAGTTTAATAAAAGTACATTTTTTATCAATAAGAATATTAAGGTTTAACTTTTATCAAATCCATTTAAGCACTGCTTTCAGTTCACTGTATCTTAATGTAAGTTCTTATTCTTTAATAGATTGTTTAGGCAGAGCATCCAACTTTGTAGAACGGACGGCAACTGCCTGTTCTACAGACACTAGTGTAGAGGACGACGTTTCGAAAGTCTTCCGCCTTTCGTCTTCGGGTCAGTGCGTCTATGTCTATTATATGTTACTTATTCATTGAAATTTGCGTTTAATAATGTATAATCTGCATGGTTTGATAAGTTTCTTTCATGTTCACAACATGAGTAACAGATATATAGATACCATAGTGTTCCCATTACAACATGAGTAGCAGATATATAGATACCATAGTGTTCCCATTACAACATGAGTAACAGATATATAGATACCACAGTGTTTCCATTACAACATGAGTAACAGATATATAGATACCATAGTGTTCCCATTACAACATGAGTAACAGATATATAGATACCATAGTGTTCCCATTACAACATGAGTAACATATATATAGATACCATAGTGTTCCCATTACAACATGAGTAACAGATATATAGATACCATAGTGTTCCCATTACAACATGAGTAGCAGATATATAGATACCATAGTGTTCCCATTACAACATGAGTAACAGATATATAGATACCATAGTGTTCCCATTACAACATGAGTAGCAGATATATAGATACCATAGTGTTCCCATTACAACATGAGCAACAGATATATAGATACCATAGTGTTCCCATTACAACACGAGTAACAGATATATAGGTAACATAGTGTTCCCATTACAACATGAGTAACAGATATATAGATACCATAGTGTTCCCATTACAACATGAGTAACAGCTATATAGATAACATAGTGTTCCTATTACAACACGAGTAACAGATATATAGATACCACAGTGTCTCCATTACAACACGAGTAACAGATATATAGATACCATAGTGTTCCCATTACAACATGAGTAACAGATATATAGATACCATAGTGTTCCCATTACAACATGAGTAACAGATATATAGATACCATAGTGTTCCCATTGTACTAAAGTACAGCTTTCAGACTAACTTTAGATGAGTCGATAAAAATCTCAGTGTCTAATTCTTCCATTAGTGCATAACATATACATGGACTTTATGAATGTCGAATAGTCTAAAGTCATATATTTGTATCTTTATAACTCAATTTATTATTAGGGACTGAATATTATAGAACGGACTGACGATCGTTAGTGTAGCATTCGTATTTTGAAAAATTATTTGACTCATATTATGACATCATCCACTTCCTTAAACGCTTTATTCGTTTTGTTTACGACAAGCGCATCTTTTCCTGTCCATTATTTGAAACTGCTGATCAGAAGGAAAGTTACTGGTCGATAAAACCCAACATATGCTCCTATCTATGTTTTTATCAACGAATAGTGAGATGGACCGTTACATTATAACACACCTATGGATAAAAGATCGAGCATATTCAGCGTAATGTTTCAATCCCGCGACAACAATATAACAAATCGAGTGCCCTAACCACTAGGCACTTCCTATCTTAAAAAACAACTGTCGTAGTGAATAAGTAACTGTTCAACAAGTGCTTAAGAAAAATATTATCTTTACAAAATCTACCAGTTTCGAATTACAGATCAGTTGTTATAAAAATGATATAGAAGAAAATATATTTAGAAAATAATCATTCCAATACGAAACTTCAAGCCATAGAAGCTAAGTTGGCCCGGCATAGCCAGGTGGTTAGGGCGCTCAACTCGCAATCTGAGGGTCGCGGGTTCGAATCCCCGTCACACCAGACATGCTCACTCTTTCAGCCGTGGGGGCGTTATAATGTGACGGTCGTTGGTAAAAAGAGTAGCCCAAGAGTTGGCGATGGGTGGTGATGGCTAGCTGCCTTCCATCTAGTCTTTCACTGCTAAATTAGGGACGGCTAGCACAGATAGCCCTCGTGTAGCTTTACACGAAATTCAAAACAAACAAATGCTAAGTTTAAAATTGTATAACAGATCAGTTAGCGGTTTGAAGAATTTACTTAAGAAGTTCTCGTCTGTATCCTGCATACTTGAAATACCACCATTGAGTCGCACATTGAGTTTAATGTTTAAAATATTATCAGGGATTTAATTACAAAATGATATCAGCTCAGCCATAACTCTTTTTATTCCCGTAAAAATATTGTTTATTTAGTACATTTACATTGATAATAATACTCCAATCCCCCTTCAAAATAGTTCTACGTTTACTATGTAATGAGTTGATAAGTTAAAAATGATATTATTTATCTCTGAGAGGTCTTTTACGACTTTTTTTTCGTCAATAATTTATTTGGAAATATAAGTATTATTGTATTTCTTCTATAGTGACTTACCTAACGGTCTATAGTGTTTTTCAACTTTTGAAATTTGTAAGTGTAAACCTTTTTAATGTGTATAAAAAGATATAAGTAGTTTGTTTGTATTTCGCAAAGGTAAACAAGAACTATCTGCGATAGTCGTCATTAATATTGAACTGATAGATTGAAATGAATACCGCTAATGAACAGAAACCTCCTCTACTTTAATCAAATAGTAGAGTTTAACCGTTACTCTTATAACACACCCAGAGCCCTAAATAGCAGAGTGCGATCTTTTAATAATTTTCACAACAACAGAACTAGAACAAAAACACTCACTTACAGAGTACGATACATTAATCACTAGGCCACATCCGTCCCATTAAGTAAAACACCATTAACTTGACCACAACAATGTTCCTAAGAGGAATATTGTATTAAAATAATTCATAACAGTATTGTTGTAGATGAGATGTGATGTCTGATTGGGCAACAATAGGAATAACTCGGTGTACGAGATTATAATAAAAGACCGAAATAGAAGTATTATGCTCTCAACAAATTTATAAAAGAATCTTAACAAGATATATTTTGCGATTTTTCAGCAACAGGTCGGAACCTATCAACGAGATCACAGTCGCTAACCACTAGGCAACTTCCGGTCACAGAAAGATAGGTATGTCTGTATATCACATATCATAATATTCGTAGATATCTTCTGAAATGTAATATCTTGACAAATTTATGGTGAGCTTCATAAAACGTTATAATATACACTAGCTTACAACTTCAACTCGTCATTATAGGTCTTAAATATAATTTAATATTATCAACAACCAAACGTTATATAATGACAACAACATAGTTAATTATAATATTTAAATGATTCTTAAAACACGGAGCAGGTGTAAAACTTGATAATTAACTTTTAGCTTGCATAAGAAAACGTGTCCAAAGTTTTGGAATCACTTACCAGTGTGTATGAAAAATGTATTTTATATATTAGTTTCTGCTTTGTGAAACTATATTATACGCTAACCTTTTATTTAAGCTAAAAACCAACGTTTTCTCTCCAGTTCTTCCGCCAGTGGAAGCCATGGACTGATGTTTCTGCCAAGGAATTGGTGCAGTCGGTACTTCCAAGCATGCGCACATTAATTTACATCAAGTCCACCAATCTTAGGCCATCTAATTTCTTAGGCGTGTAAACTAGATAGTTATATAAGACGCTCAGTTTGCAGAGTTGTGACCAAGATATTCAGAACCCATTCAGAAGTTTACTTACATCCTATCGTCAGCCCATATTGGTAAGTTGATCTTACGAGTTTAATCAGTGGCTCTAAGACCTTTCGTTGAAGTAGAAATAGCTTTAGTGTATTTTATAGTATATGTAATTAAGCTTTATTTCTATATAGATATTTTTATATAAGTTGATATCCAAAAGTCACTTAATATGGTAGTCTCCAAACTTTTCGTTTTAAATTCTATTTCACATATTTCAATATCAAAATAATGGCTGTTAAATATCTATGTCACCATAAATTGTCAAAGTGACGGAAACACAACTTTTTGCGAGAAGAAAAGTTAAAATCAAGAAAATGATAGTTAACATATACTAATGAAAAACATTAAAATATATTATATTGGAAAGGAATTACATTTATTGAGGAAAATATTGAACGCGACTATATTTATAAATCACATATTAATTAACTAAGAAATCCTTGCGATTATAAGTGGATCTGATCTGCTTTTAAGTTTTTTGATAATTAGTTAATAGTGTTTGTGTCTGAATATAATTACCAGCTTTCCGTTTTGTTTACGAATAAATATGATCTTCCTATGTAAAATTCTTAAAAAATAAACTGTGTAGCGAATACACAACCAAAAACTTGAAACATAGTTATTTCTTGTGGTTTAAAAGTGTAAGAAACATTCGTATTAATCATAATTAGTATTTCTTCGGCAGATACTAATTACTTAAAGGAATTTAACCTCTTGGAATGAGCATTTTATTATTAGAAAAATCAACTAAACTACTATACGAAAATTGTTTAAATAATTTGTAGCACGAAAGACAAAGAAAAACGAAGAAAACAAGTAATTTTATCCCTGAAACTTTAAACTTCTATAACAATCGTATTTAACATTTACATA